TTTTTTTTTTTTTTTTTTTTTTTTTTTAAAAAGGAGAAGACATGCCACTTCAAGATGTCTTCCTCCTCCTTACTACCCTTGCTCTCAGCAGTGCAACTGTTTATTATCTGTAGGCATACCACTTTACAGAGACCAAGTAGTACCACTGGATATTTATGTGAAACAGACCTTGTCAACAGCTTGTTGTGCTTAGCAGAGAGCCCCAATACATATCCTAATGCTGAGATTCAGCCTCCTCTTTAGCTCAGCACACAAAAATCACTAAGCAGCTTTGGCTCTCAGGAATGAAAAGTCCAGATGAATTAATGAAAGTTTAACATTGTTGCATTGGAAATGATCCCTCAATCTCGATTTTTCACAAGAAGTTGTTTCTTGTGCCTTATGATAGGGTCCTACATAATAAGCTGTAACAATTTATTCCAAGAATTTCCATTGTGTCTTGGCACACTGTTAGTCTGCTCTTCCCACAAAGGCATTCAGCATTTTTAATAGCGCTTACCAAAAATCAAACTGTTTGGTGATCCAACTCAAACACAGCTAATCCTTCCCTTCCCAGAAGCTTGCAAGGATGTTATTTTCACTCCCCCCTTTTCTCCATCCCCACAAATACCAAAACTGCTATAATCCTATTGGCATTGCTTCCCAAAAATCTCAGAGATAAGATGCATCCATGACCCTACAATGTACCAGAATAAACATATCCAGTAGAACATAAAAACGTACAAAAGCACTAGTGACAAGCATTGGAAGACTGTACATAACTCCAGTCACCCATGATAAAGCCACATGACCTGAAATTAGAGAGGACAACAGAATGATGCAAAAAATTGCCTTCCTTATAAAGGCTAGAAGAGGCTGGATTGCTTTAACTCACACCATACAGGTTCAGAAGGAATATGACTGTCATCTAAAAACGTGGGGAGAGGAAGAAGCGAGCTGTCTAAGCAAAAGAACAGGGTTGGAACAAGGACGTGAATATAAGCTGACCTCAAATATATTTAAGTTGACTGGTGCACAAAAGGACAAAACTTCTAGCTTCTTTAATGAAAAAAGACTTAGTGGACTTAGGAAGGATATTGTATCATACAGTCCTGTGATACAAACATACTAGACTTGACAACTCAGAAACTCTTACAATATTATGTCTAGAGATCCTTCTTACTCCCAACACAAAAGCTGTTAACAAAAAGTTTTATCTACTGTAAACTTCTAACATGTTGATCTTCCCCCGCTGTCTTTGGATACCCCCTTTAACTTATCCATAGCTTTATTCCCAAAAAGCCTTTCCTTTCTCAATTCCTCTGCAATGAACTCTGAAACTGTTACTTATTTCCTACTCCCATTTTAATGCCTTTGTTTGCATTTTTGACATCCATTTACCCATTAGACAATCTGTTCTTAAGCTCTTCCTTTTCCTGTAGGAATTCAGAACTATAACCGGCACACAGATCTAACCAAGTGCTGATGCTCTGATAAACGTACTTACAGGGTTCAGCCTTTAAGTTATAGAAACTCCAAGGTAATACCTTTTTTGAAAGTGAAGAATACTTCAACAGCACAGTTACAGCACATTTTTGTACACTGGCAAAATCGTTATAAATAAAGTAATTATCAGGATAAGTCAAAACTAAAACTCTGAAAGGCGTGATCTTCATAAATTTTATGGATCTTTCCAGTTCTGCAGTTTATATGCGTAGGTGCATTGTGAGTGCCGGGAGCGGGGAGGAGAGCTAACAAGGCCTATTTCTACAGCACTTCTCAAACACCTTACTCCACATTTTTCTTCTTTTAGACAGGGAAGCCTTCCTTCTGTATCATCAAGTCACCATGTTCAACAACTACTTCCATGCAGTATAAACAAGTGTAGTTGAACTAACTCAAGCCTTACTTACAGAATGAAACAGGTTGGCTTTTAACATTAAGTGTGCATAACAGAAGGAGGATCATCTCATCCTTCATATTCAAGAGGATTAAGTTTAACTTCAATATCTTTGTAATCAGATAAGGTGGCTGCACTATAAGAAGTTTCCCCTCACTCACATTAAGGAATCTTCTGAAGCTAACTCAACTTTTAAAAAGCGACTTCTGTCAAGCTTTGCACACAATCATGTAACAAAGTTTAAATGTGTATTTCAGTGTGAATAGTGACAGAAGAGACATGGTGTAAAATACACCATAAGACAGATATACTTTTACATGAGGAACATGCCCATTAGTGACAGACACTTGTTTTAGAGTAAAAGCATCTCAGCACACAGTTAACAAAAAATAAACTTTCGGGTTGCTTAAGAAAATAAGTAGTAATACCTTACTGTCAAGCTTTAGCATAACTCTTCCAAGTCCTCTAATAGGCCGCGGAGCAAGAGCTTCCTGACGCTCCATCACAAAATTTTCCACAAGCTGCCACCAACTGCTGCAACGGTTCGCCATGAACTTCAAAACTCCAAAGTGGACCACAAGTTTTTTAAGCGCCCAAACTATAAAGGCAAGGAAAAAAAAATTAAGTAATAGAGATTTCAGAAGATCACAATAGCACACATCTACTCTGGTCTGACAAGATCTATACACAAGAAAGAAAAAGATTCTTTTGCATTAGAAATCACTTTCAGATTTTTGAAGCGGTTTTAGTACTAATCTCCTCATTCACTTTAGAGGCATGCTTATCCACTTGAAATTTAAATGGCACGAGAAGGAGGGCGCCTGCACACTGCCTGACCATGCAACTAATGCATGGGCCTGGGATAAGAAGGTGCAATTCTATTATTCCAATACTGTGGCTGTATCACATGGTTATGCATATAGCATGCCGTTAAGACTACACCTTGACGCTATATGCAGAGCTTAATAGTATCTTATGCATAAAATAAACTTTTATGCCTCAATTTTTAAGTTTTAGGCCTTCCATATTGCAAAAAATTGTATCTTTCCTTTAAGGACAGAGAGTAGATCATGTATGTAACAGTCACAAAGAAGTTCCCATTTAAACCCCTAGTTAAATGCAACTAGAGTTTTATTTTGCTTTTAAGCACTTTAAAATATTATATTGAGTTCAGTAACAGTAATTGTCTCATGTAGATCAACAGTTAGAAATGGTGTTAAAGTTCTACTTAAACATTAAAATAACTTTCTGCGGAAAGGCTTACTAGCAGCACTCTTGATATTGTATTTACTGCAACATGTGTAACTGAACTCCCAATTATTACAGTCAAGTACACTTTTAATAAAGCTTTTTTATTATGCAAGGGTATTCTCCAAACCAGATGCATTACTTATTGCCACTCACCACCACCCCAACAGCTACTCCCACCCCCACACCCAATATTCACATCATGCTTCTCTCTGGAGATATGGAAAATGTCACACATAGCCTAAAAGGTCAACTTTTAATATCCACAGTGCATTTATCAAAGTTCAACAAAAGCCTATTATCTGTAAGCCACTTCTGTAATAGTTCATGTTCTTGTTCAAGGAGTGCTCATTTAACAGTGTGCTGAGATTTAGTTTACTTACCTTTGGCTCCACCATGTGGTAAACATGTGAATTATTCTCTTAAAGGAATTAGAACACTCTAATAGCGTAATTAACGATTGTCTAACAAACATACAGAAAAGAAGAAAACAGTGCGAGCGCCAGCAACTAACTGGCAGGTTGAGGCTTTGTATGATAGAATGTGACTGACAGTAAACGCACAAACTGCTGCTAACCAAAACAGGACAAACTTTCATTTTACAAGAAGCAAACAACATACATGAAATGACATTCCAATCTTCTGTTCTTTAAATAATCTGCCCTGGAATAACTCTGTATACAGTCATTGCAATCACACAGCTGTAGTTATGCTAGCTTAAAACAGATAGGAGAAAACTCCTTTTAAAGGAGAGATGTTATTAGAAAGACATGAACAAAAGAAGAGAGACTGCATAGTAAGAAAATCCAAACATCTTCAGGAAGCAGAAAATGAGCTGAAGACAAAAACAGAATTTAGGAAAAAGAGTAAGCAAGCAAGCAAGCAAGCATATAACAGTTCAAGCAAGAAAGTGAAATCCCTTAAAATGAAACAATATTAGGATTTCCAAGCATTTGTTCAATGATACGAGCTACAAGCGTTCCACAACTTGTTTTTTTGCTTAGGTTTTGAGTTCAAAGTTCACTTCTGCCCCTTTTCACTTTATGAAATTATTATTTTCCACTCTCTACATTAAGCAATTGTTATGAATTCAAGGGAAAATATTAATGGTAGTAAAGTATTTTTATGATAATCTATACGCTACCTACTTCATGTAATAGTCATTATAAGGAACTCCAGAAAACCTTAAATTGAAAGTTTTGTTTTTTAATTCTAGAAGCATTTTCCTTAAGACCTCTAGCGTCCTTAAACACATTGGTCTCCTCAGATTTGACAAGCTGCAAGCTTTGCTTTACAAGGCTATTGCCCGCTACTAAATTCTTTCCAATATTTCTTCTCTCTTAACTATCTAGGTTATCCTCATTTGCTGATATTTAATATGATCCATGCTTCTAAATTTGGCTCCGTACATAATCATATTGCCCCTTCATAAGGTTTTTGCAGTGATTTGGTTATATTAATCAGTTTTATGGCAAGAACAAGCACTTAACATCCCAATTTCACAACTGAGGTAACAGGTCACAAGTATTCCCAAATTAATTTGTTTTGGCTTGAGCTTCTTGTTCAGGCACTTAACTGGAGTCTAAGCATGGCGGCAGCAGACAATCCACAGAAGCCTTTGGAAAGTCATTTTAGTATTACATGCTTGCTTTACAGTCTAGATGCGTCTAGCTCAAGCTTAAAACAATTGATTGTCTGCCAAACTGCAAAAACATCTACTACCCCATTTTTCCTCCCACCCTACACAGGTTATTCAAAGAGTGGCTATTTAGAAATAATTTAGCCATTTAAACTCTGCTTCTGGTAACTCTAAAATGTATCTTCTAACCCACATTGATCACTTTTATGGCTTGTTTATGAGCCATGTCCAACCTGCCATCACCATCTCTTACAATGTCCAGGCACCAAAACTGGGCAGAGTACTGCAGCAGTAACTGCACTTTTAGGAAACAAAGAGATCAAAACCCTCTTTCTCCTATCTTATATTCAGCTAGTTGTATGTCCAACAATCAGATTACCCTTTAGCTTCTACTACAGTGCCACAGCCAAACATGCAGCTGTTTCTTTCACCATACTTCTCAGAGTTCATGGTAATGTTAAGAGCCTCTCAAACCTGTAAGCATGGCCCTACGTTCTTGATCTCCAAGTGTACAACTGCATGGTTATAATGGCTTGGTAAGAGGGATAATAGTTACATTTAAGTGTTCAATAGATTTAAAAAAATGCTGAAAATGAGTGTTCTAGGTGAAGTTTAAATGAAGTCTGATGAGACCAGAGAACTTATTCTCTGTTTACAGCAAGGAAAAAAATAAATAAATAAAAAAGGAAGGCTTCAGATTGATAAGCAGCTTCTGCATATTTCCAGAGCACCTATCTTCCCTTCTCTCTGTCTCTGTCTCTCTCTTCCCCTCCCCCAAAAAGCTATCGAAATAAGTGGCATGCAGTTTTCAAACAACCTCTTTAGACAGTCATCAGAAATATGCCACTATCGCTTTACAGGTAAGAGAACAGATGCATGGAGATGTGAAGCAACAAAGCTAATTAACCTCAGAGCTAGAATTAGAATCTAATTTATCTTGTGACCCGTCCAAAGAACTAACAAACTGTTTTTTACTGGAAATTAAAGCACATAGCATGAGCTGTACTTCAGAAGGGAATAACAGCTAAAACATTCCTTAGCTATAGGCGCAAAAAGATGAAAGACATGACACAGAGACAAAGAAAAACTCAGTGCTTCAAAAGTTTCCTAAAGTGTAAGGTGTGGCTCTCAATTATTCCAGGAATTACACATAATAATGACAGCCAACAGACAAAGCAGTTTTAAAATGACAGAGTGGGCCTGGGCCCACAGGATACAGGACACTCCACTTGAATCTTCCTAACTCAAGCCATAATTGATCAAAAACATTATAACCATGCAGAAAGACTTAACTGGTGACAGTAAGTTAATTAACTCTGAACGCTTCAAAACAAGAAGTCTTGAGAAACTTAAAAGAACTCATACAAGCCTACAATAGAAGTAAGATTTTATTGATACTTTATTTAACAAAAAGTCTAAGGCTTTCCCAAGTCATCATCTAACGTACATTTGTAGCAATGGTATTACCTGCAAAAGGCACCGGCAATAGCTGCACAATCCAGAAATTTAGCCATATCTGCACAATGACAATGGCCCACACAAGTGTAACAAAGTAAATATCACTTGTTTTCTTTTTCCTAAGAAGAGCTCCAATCTCAGGCCTTTGCCTGCTCCCAGAAGATGACGAAGAGGATACAGAGGATGAAGCATGTGGGGGCTGATCACCTTCTGTTGCTCCTAAAATAAACAAGCAAATAAAAAAAACAAATGGCAGTGGAATAAGCAGAAATTATCGCATCAATGTCTTGTACAGGACAAAATATGCTCCCTAGTGCCAATTTAACCTACTTTTATTATAGTTTCTCTAAAAGACAGGGACAGCCTTGGCACTAATCTGAATTTCGAAAAAAAAAAAAAAACTAGAACAGGCCTGTGCAAGCTCTCCCACATCATGCAATGCCATGCCAGGCAGTGCTAATGGGGGGAGGAAGAAGAGGAAAGAAAAGACGCTACAGCCTCTTAGAGGCCTGCTCCCACTGCAAGGTAATTAGAGAAGCTAAATATACCTTATCAAATAACCATAAAACCCAGAAAACAGAGCGTATTTCACTTTTAACAGAAGAACAGAAATCTGAAGTGTTAAAAATAAATCTTTAATTCACTTTAAGGGCTCTTAAATATGCTCAAAGAGCACTGGAGGAAAAAAAATAAGCGTAGTTTGAAGAGGATGCTCCAATCTTACAAATTTCTTATTATATACTTTTTCTTTACCTGAACACTCACATTACAAACACAGCATTCACGCTGCAATCTTAAATTACTTAACCTAATTCAGTAACAACAGCAAGCATAAGTTAACAGTTGACAAATGCTGTTGTTCTCTCATTCATAACTTAAAAAAGATGAAGTTCAACTCCAAAACGTGAACTTGTGGGTTAAAAAATAAAGGCAATAAGGGTCCAGCAAATGGTGATATCAAGCAACAAAAAATTATGTCCAATTTCTTGTCTACAGAACTTGAGTAACTTTTTTTTTAAAGCATTTCAGTTTGGGAATCTGCTTAGTATCACACTAGTATGGATGATACCAGACCCATCTTCAGTCGCTGCGGGTAGCATCTTTATCCTTAGAACCCAGTATTAACTTTTACTGAGGATAGGCCCTGCACTGGTGAGTAAACGCAGAGACTTCACACATATCGCTACCTGAAGAACATTTATGGCCACAGTGGAAGAACAGGGCACACAAGATAACCTGAAAAGCTATTCCATGTTGAAGAATACAAGACAATTTGCTGTGTTGCTACATACTGCAGCACACAAGCAAAGAACAACTCTTTTACTGGACTTCTGTCACATTAACAGCAACCGCTTACCTCCCATGAAGAAAAATTGTTGTAGGGACTGTGTTACAATATACTACCACACATGAATTGCTTGACTGATATGCATTTCACATACGTAGCTTTGGCTGCAATGTGTCACTAAAGCCACTAAAGCCTACAGCATGAGATCCTAGTGAGTACAGTAGGACAGATCTGTTGTACATATACAGCAGTGGTAGAACGGCACATTCTGCAGCCTGACACACTAGATGAAAACTCTTCTTTTGCTGTAGCAGTCCCCACTGGTGTTGCATACAAGCAAGCACAACTATTTTTAGTGCTTATAAGTGCTTCGTAACCACACCAACATAGTAACGCAAATCTTTTGATTCACCCAATTAAGAGATACTGGAACAACGAAGGGAAAAATCAGCTGGTTGCTGGCACCGTATTTGGTGGAATTTCATAATATCCCCAAAGGGATTACAGGAGGCAACCTGAAAAAAAGGAACGTGGCAAGCAGCTAAACACAGGAATTGTTTCAGGTGGAGTGCTGATTGACAAATCAGTTCATATCCCAGAGGTGAACGATGACCCTATCATACGTGAACTTTCCTTTGGAGAAAAAAAATTCATGAATGAAGATGGAGTTACCAATAGACAGCAGCTTTCCTTTGTCATAAGGAACTAAATTTCTATCACTCCTCTATAGTCTTCAGTCCATCTTCAATGAGGCAGAGGAGTACACTGAGGAAGTTAAATGCATCCAGCTTAAGATTTGCTAAAGGAACACAAGACTGAAAGCAGCATGCTGATAACAGAGAATTCTCCCCCTCCCTTTCAACTTACTCAGCTCCTTTCTTTTTACTTTCTTCTTCAAATAAAGATAGTAAACATAAGACAACAAGCAGAAACTCAAATGTTTATCAAAGGAAAGGAAATGCTAAAAACCAAAATCGAAAAACAAAATAATTTAGTATAATAAAGCTTATTCTACATGATGCGAGTTATCTGACTCTTTTTGCTGAAAAAGTCTTGGCAAAGTCACTTACAAAAGAACAGAACATTCCTTCTTTCTGGAATGAAGGATCTGTTCTACCTAGTCCTGCAATAAAGAAAATCTTAATTAAACAGCAGCAATACTATTCTTAAGAAGAGTACCAATTGAACTCAACTCATTTTCTTACAGTTTCCCTACTGATATAAGCAGGCTATTCACAGAAGACAAAACACAAGTGGGAAAGAGCTCAGAAAAAGACACCATTCAGTGCACTTCATGGTATTCAGGCTCAGATGAAGCCTGAAAAAACACTTGCTGTCTTCCAACAAATGACACAGTACAACAGCCTTTCCCAAATAGCTAACCTAGCGCCTGATAAAGAATGTAGGTATACCTTCAAGATGATACTGTTCATACTATATCAAAATCAGAATCTACAGTGGCAATGTGAGTATAACAAAAACAACAAAGAATTGCCAGTTTTCCTGGCTGTTCTTTTCTTTACATGACCTGTTCTCTATCAAGTCTTGCTGGCACAGAGTTGTGAATTATTCTCTTCCCTTTCCTTAAATAAAAGGTAACAGAACAGTAGCATAAAGAGGAAGGTAAACATAATTTTTACGCCTATAGACCAGGGTATCAGAACAAACTCTTTCGAGTCCTGCGAAAGGATGATTTTATTCTTTTGATTAATATTATTGAAAAAGTCTTTCAAAACACCAGGATGAGGGTACCCTTTTCTAAATAACCACATCTTTTTGTGATTCGAAGAGAAAAAGATTTTTTTTTTCTTTTAAGAAAACTGGTCTAATATCTTTACCTGGAATCAAGAAATTTAGATTAGGGAGGGAATGAAGTACAACTATACCTTAGGATTTCAATATCTATCACACTCAAAGCCAGTAAGACAACTGAATCTTGCCTATGAAGCAGCTAACAAAGCACTGCAGTTCTTAAGATGAACATTTATTACTTGCTGTATGCTCTGAAAATTCTTGGGACGCCAGGAATAATCACAAGTTAGATGAACTTCACTGATATCACTAAAACGAAAAAAGAAAACCCATAAAACATACAAACACTAAAACCCACTATTCAAATATAAAATAAGGAAAGAGTAAGTCTTTGGAAAAAAATGATATAATCAGTACGGCTTTCTCCCTCCCTCCCTCCCTTTTTTCTAGTGGACAAATTTAAGCACAAGGAGAACAGTATGCAAATGAAGCATTGTTCTATATTCCATTTAATTCAGTATAAGCATTATTCTTGCTATTGACAATTAACCAGTCTTGATGACTACAGACATATATTCAGAGTAGACATGAGGAAAAATCTCACCCTGAAGTCTGTCCGAAGATGTGAAAACTTTCAAAAATCTTAAGCTTCTCATAAAATAGATGTGTTATATTATGAATTCCAAAGCAGAACAACAAAAAACAACAGCAACACACACACAGGACCACACACACACACAAACATTACTACAGAGGGAAAAACAGAAGAGCTGCAATTTTTTTTTTTTTAACTTTTCAAGTAAACATTCTTACAATGCCAGAATAATGTTTCATCACCATTCACACGAGCCAAACCTTGAGGACCACGGGGACAGTTAATTAGCATGAAATAAAACGTTGCTTCCCAACAGATTGCTGGGGCTTTATTTGGACTATTGCTAAAAGCAGGCAGGAAGCTGTATATTTGTTCTTTTCCTGCTGTGAAGAAAATAACTCAAGCAACATTCACTACAGAAGACACTCGCTGTAAAACTCTGCAGCATTTTCTTGTGGCCAAGAGACAGCGTTATAACTTGCAAATAGAAGGAAATTGTGTTAAAGAGGAAAAAATTAAAACTGGTGACCAAGTTTAAAAACAAAAAACAAAATAAAAAACCTCCAGAGCTTACAGAGCACATCTGTAGGAGACTCACATGACCAGACATCCAAAATCCAGCTGAATAATCCCTGTACTTCCAAAGTAACAGACTAGAGACAACAAAAGAAAACGTTCACCATGAGGTTCCATTCTCAAGTTTCAGGATATATTTGTCTTTAGCAAGTCAGACTGATGAGGTCATTTTCATTTTACAACACCAAGTAAAGAATAAATTGTCTGAAGCTGCCCTTCTTATATTTTAAAATCAAGGGTTTTTTTGAATATAGTTTATATCGAGATATTTAAAATTAGGAAATCTGTTTCAGCAAGTTTGTGTATCCTTCTGTTTCACAAAAAATTGCTGAAGAGACTGTTCTATATCAACTGCTTTATCTGAAGGCTGAATGACTTTAGATTCATGCAAGCTAGTCTTTAGATATAAGTTATTAATGCTACATGTTCAAAGCATTTTCTCTTGCACGATCCCTACAGACCACGATTTACACGTTATAGGCAGTTTTAAAAACATACCGTCTTGACTGCATCTAAGATTAGTCCACTGCAAGTTCAAGTTTTGGACACTTGCATCCTGTCAAGTTGTATGACCTGTTCTGTTTGTCTACTTGAAGGAAATAGATGAAGACAGATCCAGAGATCTCCATAATATTTTATTTTGCTAGTATCCCATGCCATCAAAGCACTACCTGGACAACAGATGGCAAGGTTCAACACCAGAGATGGACTCCTACACATTCTCCTTGCAGCCCTTTCAAACCTTTTCTTAAAGATTTCTCATTTTGTTACATTCTCAATGAAACTCACTACAGCAAAGAATATGAACATGCCACAGCTAAACAGAGAGCAAAGCTTTCTGTCACTGTGACATCCACAAAGATTATTCCAGTCTGTACCTCACCGAGTAACACAATTACATCTTGTTAGTGCCAACTAATTGAGGGAAGTGTAGGGAAGGAGGGTGGGGGGGGGGGGGAGAATATCCTCATTACAAAAGCAACAACAACAAACAAAAAAAACCCACAAAAAAACAACAAGAAAACCCCAAACTTCTAGTCAGGCCTTCTACACGCACAGGCTCTCTATATGGCCATAAAATTATGGTTTGAAAGAGCTTCTATATTATTGTCCGCTTACCATTCTTAAAAACCAGATATACCAGGCTCACAGGGCAAGTATAACACAATGTTTTGGAGAAAGATGAAGAGGAGAGGGATTATTTTGAAATCTGTTCTTAGTTCCCTCTTATTCATGCCTTTAGAACAAATTCAAATGTTTTCTTACAGAGTATTCAGTCACCTGAGGGTTGTGAGGAACGCTTGTTATTTGACTCATCTTCTGTAATCGATATTGCCATGGCAATTGTTGAAGCGGCAATGGAAATCATCTGCCCAGGAAGCTCTGCCCCTGTAAAACATATATGCATATATAAATAAAGAACAGCTCAAGTCTCACAACATTGTCTTTGTTGCTTGATATCCACTGAAGCTGTCAAGCAATACAAAATACATGGATTGACATTGTTAGCTTTTAAACTGCTTCCTACATAGCCAATATGATCAAGTGGCTACAAGTGCTATTAATTTTAGTATTACAACACAGCTGGAGTCAGGACATAAAAAGTTATGACTCAGCACTTCCCTTGCTAGTGACCTGTTACTGACAAAGTTGCTTCTGTTACTCGCAATCTGATTAATCCAAAGTCTCTGTACCAGGTTATCAGTTTTACTGACAAAGATGATGACAACTTTCAAGAAAATCAAAGCAGCAAGACAGAAAAAAATGTTTCCCAAAACAACAATAAAACTAGTAATAGAAAGGAACCCCTGGCAGTTGTTTTTATTACAAAATTAATTCACAAGAGAGCTATTTTTCTCAAAGTGCAAACACAAAACATAAGGTTAAGAAACTTGCATTTTAACCACAAATAATTGGATATATGAAAATTACTGGGTGGATGAAGTAGTCTAATGTTTTCCCTCATACCCAGCATCATAAGAGCTATTAAACCCATACTGCTCATTTCTTTCTAAATTAGACCCTAATTCCAAACTCCTGGACTTTCTGCTTGAAACTCTATAGGATTCTCTACACTTAAACATAAGCATGTATTTGAAACATATTCCAAACTTTGTAATTAAGAGAGTCACTCCTTTGCTATGGAAATCAGTTTATTGCAAAGATTTTTCTATAAAGAACCAAAGGCTCATTTCAGCCATGCATAATCCACTTTGAAAAAACATGCTAAAACTTCTTAGAGCATATTCTTGCAATCTATATGATACTGAATTTACAGTAATATAGTCTGGATACTTTCTCCTTACTTTACAGAACTTTTGCCTCCTATAATAAAAGATACAGCAACTCATTTCTTACCAGAAGACTCTTTTCCACTCTGCTGTTCATGCAACATGCCTACGGTCATCAGAACAACTATAACCAGAAACACAGGAATTCTCCAGGAACCAGCCACAGAAGCTGAAAAAAATACAGTTTTTTTTCCAAAAAAAAAAAAAAAGTTATGCCGTTAATAAACTTTACATTTAGCAAAACTAAGAAAGGTACCATATCACCCAAGAACTGTGTAGGCAGAAACTAAAAAGTGTTATAGCAAACAAGTCTTCTACATTCACAGAAAGGAGGAGGAAGAAAAACAACTGAACAAGTTCCTCAGAGTAAACCAAGCTGTTACTTCCTCAGTAACTTTAAACCATGCTGGCATACCTTAGAGCTTTTAAAACATCATGCAAGCCCTAAACAAAAACATTTTAGAAATCAGAAGCATATCAAGCCATCAGAAAAATATATAGATTTATGCTAGATCTCTACAGAGTGGCATCAAGCAGGGCCTTGATGATTTTTGGCTTTTCAGCTAGTACCTCAAGCAAATGTAAGTTTGAAAATGTGAGCCAAGGCAAAGCCATCACGTGCAGCTTAAAACTTAAGAGAAGCGTCCCCATGTTTTCAGAACAACTTCCGCAACATGCTGCTAGAGCAAAAATAAATCATTAAATATGCAGTGAAGCCTTCCACCATATTGGCCATTTATTTGCATCACCACAGGAAATCCAATGTCTTCCAATTATGATAATATAATCTTCATATTAAATATGTAAGATAAACTTAAAAGTTAGTAAAATCTTTTATTTGCATTAACAGATTATATAGATTAGTAGTAAACTTATTCAATATTGTTGATATCATCACATTGACGTGCTTGTTGATTGCTGACATAAAAAATTATTTTTGCTTCTATTACTACTACTAAACGCATTTCACAGTTGCGGCGTTAATTAGTGACAGGTCCTCAAAAAAGCTGAAAATATTCACAAGTCTAAAATCACTCCCATGTGACCTCAGCCCTTCCCCTCCAACCAGCTAGTGAGAGGTCTGTTACTGCAAGAACCAAATAAAATCAAGACACAGAAAGTACAAACTGGGCAACAGAAGTGGAAAGCAAATGATGTAGCTCAGCTCCTTGCTGCCCTTCCCAATCCCTACTCCAATACTCACGTCTTACCAGCCTTCTACCAACAGCACATACTTCTGCATAATGAAAAATTCCCCACTGGCCACATGCAGCCAGAACTACTGAGCAGAAAAAACAGCTTGCACCTCAGCTGAGATTCCATTACAAATATTTCAGAAAAGGAGCAAGAGCATGGCTTTGCTTGCAAGATGACAGAATCACAGTGGACACACGAGCATTACTACTCATGAACGTTGAGGTTGTTACTCACCTAAATGAAAGAGCAGCATAATCCACACAGGGACTGAGACTGCTTTTAAGTAACGTTCGGTGCTTAGATTCCACTTGAACGAAACCATCAACAGGTAACCAACTACCAAGGTCCATATCTTTAAGAAAGAGATACGTGCAAGTAAATACACATACGCACAAGTGCTTGTCTGTACATATACGTGCATACATATACACACATGCATACACACAAATCTGCTATACAGAAACAAAGTCAGGTTCTAGTTCCAGTTCTAAGCAACTTTTGACATGGAATTTTATCAAATACTTAAGTGAAAATAGGTAAAAAGAGAGAGAATCATTTGCTGTGCCAGCAAATCACAGACTGATGTGGTTATCTTGTTTTGCTGCTTATAACTGCCTTCTTCAGGTCTACTCAGACAGTTTGCAACAGAGAATTCTAATTAGGAAGCTTTAGGTAAGGAATTTGAGCTTGACAATGTGAAAAGCGGCTACTAAGCCAAAGATGTGAAATAAGAGAGATATGAGCACCTATAAAAAATTTCAGTGTTACATTCAAAAAAAATATTTGATGTTTCAGGCCCAAATTCAAGAAATACTCCCTATCCATAACCAGTTTAGGACACCTGCTGTTGCACATTCATAAATTCCAATGAATTGTAAACAGAACTTTTATTAACAGCATTTGTTGAATCAGACTTCAGAGCAAAAAAATAAGAACGCGCTAAAAGAGACAAAGAACAGGCAGTTAGACTGAACACAGAGAAATAACATTCACCTCTGTTTTTGCACTACGACTCACACTGAAGAGGTAGAACCTCTATGAAAAGCAGTTTGTGCGACTATTCCCAAATACCTAACTGGTCTGCAGGAAATTGTAATTGTACCAAATTCAACAGATAAGCCCTGACTGTTAACTTCAGAGGGACCAGGATTTCACCCCATATCATAATGCTAATACGCACAGGGCAATTAAAAATCCCCTAACAAGTGTGAATAAACCTATTCCCTTTTCATACTAACTAAACTTTTCCATCAAAACCGATCAATCCGACTTTTCTCTGTTATCATTCCCTAGTTATGCATGAACACAACAGCGTAATGCTTACAGATTAAACTCAAAACTCAATAAAATAGCGTTGATGTGAAGTGCATGGTAGCACTCCTTTAACAGCATAGGTTCACTGTACAACTTCACCTACAATGCATGTTGCAGCACAATTGTAATTGCAAGAGATAATTCAGCAGCAAGAGAGGTACTACCCTGTTCCCTATTATCATCTTTTCTTCCAGCATCAAGTCAATTTTTCTCTTCAGCTTTTAAGTTTAATGATAAATTACAAATAAATTTTGTTAATAGGTCTGGAGTTCAGTAAATGAAACTTTCTAATTAAAAATATGCCAAGAGTAGGAGGCTAACAGAGTATAAACTTGGGTTTAAAAGCCAAAGTAAACCATGCTCCGCTGTTTTTAGCGGTGCATGCAGTTGAACTAAAAACTAAGTCACAGCACTTCAGTGCTTACGTATTCAGTAATTATTTCTGCTGCCAGTTACAATAATTCAACAACTCTCCTTTCTAAAAGCTTAGCAAAGGAGAGACAAGAGGTAAAAGCATTCTTTACCTCTACTGATTAGAGAGAGAAAATAGCTTATTTTAAAGTACATGAATCATCTTGTTTCGGAAACCAAACCAAAACAACACTCAAGCTCTATAAACAAGCTACATAATCAACTGATGCAAAAGGTTTGATTTCAATGATACCATGGATTAATCAATCCGTTACCAGTTAACGTTATGGTCAAGCACTTAGGAAACCTCAGTAGCACTTCCCTGTGTTGCAAGAAATACCCTACATGAGAACTAAGCCAGACTACTTCTCTCACTCAGGTAACCTGCTTCCTACAACTCACAGCTGAGAACAACTGACAAAGCAAATTACTTAGATTGACATGGACTTGGATTTTATTCCATACTAACTTGGCAATAGCCTACTTTATTTTAAACACATCCTATATGACGTTTCCCACTATTTTGCTGAATGGTTTCTAGAGCTTTTAGATATAAGTGAGTGAGAACAGCCTATTGACTATACAACAATAGTTATAACCATTACTACTTATACTACGATACCTCAAATTACATGACCATCCCAACAACAGACACAATAGAAAAAAAGAATAGAAGTTACTACCTACTTTTATTAGCATTAAACTACCGTAATTACTGCACTAAACCTAGAATGGATGCACATTACATGTTAAACCAAGATGCCCACGAATCTGACTTATACGAGCGTACAGCTAACCAGGTGACTACTACGCTTCAGATATGGTAGCGATTGTGAACATGCTGCCATAACTGTTTACTTATCAAGCTGAAATGTTCTGCAGATGCCTAATCTTCACCATCTACTCTATGGCTTTCAAACGCCTTTTCCATCTCGTTTAAACTTCAGTAGCGTGCACTACCCTGCACACATCAGAATTGTGGGCGCCTCACTGGATGGTTTAATTCTTCTTCCGTCCCTCGCTTATCTTCACTGTCTGACCAAATGGCAAAGACTTCATTTCTCATAACTCCCTTGCACCTTCGTAGCCCCTCCAGTGAATTGAACAAAATGTTTTTCTTTAGACATAAAAGCAGTAACACAAAAATGCCTTTTTCCCTGCATAAACAGCTGTAACACTGCAGCACAACTTCTTGGATTTCAGCATCCACTTTTGGGTCACAGTGATAATTTAAAAGACCAGATCCAGAGATGCCTATGCAAGTCTAACAGGCTTCAGGTCTCTTTAAATTGCCTCTTGCCAAATGAAGGCAAAAATTAAACCATAAAGAGCTGCCACTTTTATGTTAAGTGCAAGCATCTGCTTTAGTGTTTTGAATTGTATTTTAAATTTTAGAATATCACCTTAATTGCTGGTTTTATGTGCTAGAAAGTCTAGGATTTATTCAGCATGACCATTTTACTAACATTACTAAAATCCCATTTTGTGTTCCATTAAAAGTTGGGAGCATCCTAAAACCTGAGGAACACTTTAAGCTTTGGCATCACATTTCAGTGAGAATGGATTTTTATCTTGCTACTCAACTCTTGACAGCATTTGCATTGCTTTATATTAAAGAGTAAAAGTCTTCCAGTTACACATCTCACCCACTTCCTTCTTCTCCTAACAGCAAGTTAATCTAAGGGGGGAGGGGAGGATGTTTAAACCTGAGCTCATCAAATTCAGGGCAACTGAAGCACGCAGCAGAAGCAGGATAAATAAGAGCAGCCCCTTCACTGGCAGCAAAGCTGCTAGATGAACTCATTCATCATTGAAACCTCGTCCCAAAAATGCAGCTGCCAACCATTAGCAAACTTCCTGTCTATTACATATAAACCACCTCATGGTGAACACCGTAGTGAAGACTGACTGAAATAAAAAATAGAGTTACTTCTTGTGATACACACCCTGCCAGCCATCCAGGAGTTTCCAACTCTTAGCAAGTCAAGATCTACCAAACAGCATGATTCAATTCCTCTTTTATTCTCTAGTTGTAGCTCCACCTTCTCCCTCTTTGCCATTTCAAAGTGTTTTTTTTTTTTTTCCAAGCTGCTTGTCCTCTTGGGCTCTGAATCCAATTTGAAAGGTTTCACACTTTCCAGTTTCTTAAGGGCGCCAACAAATCAAACAAATCCTAATTATCTCAACACTTCCCTTTAACATTTTAAAATAAAGTTTTCATTTGCAAATGGAGATTTTCTTTTTTTCCCCCCTCTCTCAACACATAAAAACCTTTCAAAGGTAACATTCACATAACACTGCTCCTGCGTGGCCTTACTCTCCGACAACAGACATACAAATGCTAATGTCTGGGTTTCATATCTTGTGATTCCCTCCCTGTTTTCATCAAGTAGCTTTCGATAACAGAAAAGGATAAGTAAAAGAAAGGCTTCTTTATCTTTCCCAGATCTCCTATTTGGGCTCCTGTTGCAGAAACCCATTTCCTCCACTAACATCGCTATTAAAAAACAAAAAACAAAGAAATAAAAAAGACCCTTTGCCATACAATGTGGATGAGAATAGGACAACTAGCTAATTAAAAATTAATGTACATCAAAAATCAGACCACAGATCATAAGATGTGCACATTTCAAGCACAGAAATATCTAGGCTCCATATAGATCCCTATAAAAAGGGATATTTATTGTTTCAGTACTATGCAGTCCCGGGCAGTCATCGCACACATACAGCAGTCTTCTCATCCATACTCACTCCACACTTGTTGCATACAGTGCTGCACTGAGCGAAGTTGCCTGAAGAGATCTTCTGGGAGAAGATCATTATTTCTACCTCTTCCTCCTTGGTGCCAACCCAGGCATATCAATGGAGTCTGCCAAAAGAATGAACCTATTGCAAAACCTGAACAGCATAGCGCTCAACTTAAAAACTGAAGCTACATGAAACATTAAGTACATCCCTAAAAGCCACACTGTACTGCCATTATGAACATCACAGTGTTTTCTTCAGCTGTTTTGTTAATTTGAAAATAGTTTTCTAATCAAGAAAGAAGATAACTGAGGAATCAAAAAAAATGCCAGTTTGACTCCCTCTTACCTTGCACTGAAAAGATCTTTATTTATTGAAGCAGGTAAATGACATCCTGAACTTTTTCCTAACTAAGCACAAAAAGCAAGAGTACATCTAACTGATCTATTTGTTGTCAAAGGAATAAAACAGCATATAAGTTTGGTTCTTTCTAGATCCCCCAATTGAGAGAGATTTATATTTAGGTATGTTCCAGGTTAACCTGAACAACTACTAAACCAAATAAAATGGAAGCCTGGCATCCAGTTCCAAATTATGAACATAGGGTTATAATCTTGGGGGGCAAAACGCAACAAAACCAACACCGTTACACAGTAGTTAAAAGAATTTTCAATGTATACTGTGACATTTCCTGTGCTGTGAATTTAAGACAATCCATTAGATAAGTTATCCAGATATCTGCAGCTACGGACATTGAAAATGCTTCTTCCGTATTAAAGCAGTACCAAAGAGCTATAGAAGCTATTTGTGAGAATCTCTGTTAATAAAAATTTTTTCAAGATTCACTTTTCTAAAGAGGTTTTTCAGAGAATATTAACCTGCTATATCTTCTCGCTGAAGAGAGAGGATCGCTATTATGACAAACTTCATGATGCTACTTTCACAACAGGTGGCTCCTTAACATAAGTAGCTTCATGTCTGTGTTTTGCTATATAGAGCATAGTTAAAATTTTGCTGGACAGTTCCATACCGATTATTCCTTTCAGAGGTGACAGTAAAATAAATAACACTTTTTTCAAATAATATAAGTAAATGCTAATAACTAAGTATTAGCATGTGGTAAATACCGTTAGACTACAGGCAAGCATCAGCTTAGGGCCCGAGGCTGCAGTTCACGCATTCAAATCTAAACAAGCCTATCCGATTTTTCAAGAAACATATTTAACGGCCAGTTCCACCCTAACCCAGGGTGGGTGTGAAAGGCAAAAGCAAAGGCAGAAAGAAAACACTAGGAACGTGCCAGTCTTCCCCTGCCCACCCCCTCTCCTGTCTTTAAATAGGTTTCTGCAAAGTTGATCTCTACCTGGTTGTGAAAACAAACCAAAGACTGCTGTTTGAAAAAGATGCGTTTATAGCCAGTACCTGCGATGTATAAGCCATGGCACCCATATCAAAAACATTATTATAAGCAGCAGAAAGGCTATTTAAGTTAAAAGGAGGCAGGGGATCCCTTCTTAGGTTTATATTTTAATTAAAATTCTTCCTGCGTACTCTTCTTTCTTCCCCTGCTCTCTGGGGATTGTCGCTGCTGTTATTTGGTAAAGGAGGCTTGCATTACTAAGGGTCCATGCCCACTGGGTAAAAGAACCAACAAGGGAGTTCTGATGCAAGTCAGTTGAAAAAGACAGCAGAAAGAAAGGGACTGCATCCTGAGCCAAGGCAGAAATAGCAGCGTTTTTCCTTTGTTTTTATGCTGGACAGGTTTTAGAAATCTGCATGCCTGCTCTAAGGAGCAGAGTGAGGAGATAGAAAGCTATCTGAAACACTGGAAAAAGTAAAGAGAAATTATATGCAACTCAAAATCAGAACTGCATTTTTCTCATTTATAGTTATTCTGTCATTACAGTCAAACTTAAATCCTTTCCTTTGCTAGAAGAGCTCTTGTCCCCGTACATGAATTTGACAAAACGGAGATGCTTTTTATGCCTCCAAAGGTAACAAGTTCAATAGCGCTAAGGCAGCCAAGCCACCCCGGATACCTACAACCCAAAATACGTTTGCAGAGAAGAATGTTTGAGATCTCCAGTCTGCAAGAGTTACTTTAGGGACCGCTGGAATCTAGTGCCAGGATAAAAACCAGAGTTTTCCTTGGTGAATGCCTTTCATAGCTTCCCTGCCAAGAGGGTACACAGAAGACTGCCCAAGACACTTAACAGCTGCTTTAACAATATTCCAATGAAACGTTCATGGCAAATGGTATTCCCAGATTTGTCCAGCATTCTAGTGAGGAAAGCATTACTTAGGTCCTTTAATTGCTTTTTAACCGTTAGAACAGAACGAGTCACATCTAGCAGAGTCAGAGAGGTAGCTTGGCACACAGTTTCACAGGACCCTGTAACTCCTTGGGGAAGATACACACACACACAGATGAGTACACAGTTCTAAACCTGATCACCAAGTTCTGACAAACTCTTCCCATAAAAGAAAGGCTTTGACAGCTCTGTATCCAAGGTCATGACAGAGAATTCTGACAGCTATGGTCATATCACATTTCATTTACCAAGAAGATGAACTTCAGACACAACATAAAACAGCTGTATAATTCATTTCATCTGCTGGAATCTACAAACGAACCACTTTCTAAATAAATCTAAACATGTGACCCCTGCTGCCAAAAAAAATTACAGTCAATAGCTGGCATTTCCTGTATTTTACTCTAACTATAAAATGTCAGGCTAACGTACTCTGAACTGCTGCTACAAAGCAGAAGAATTTCCTGTATGTTAGGTACTGATGGATACAAGTACACTTCCTACAAACCTAGGAAGACATGGTAATCCACAGATTAATCTTCAGAAGGTATGCAAGAGTAACTATGCTAAAATAGTTATAGCATATAAATCTGTAAGGGCATTTTCAGTCTCCTATTGGACAAACACCCCTCCTTTTCAGGGAAAAGAGATAAAGACAAACATCCTCCTTAAGACTTAGGCAAGGGATCCGTAGAGAAGGCTGGAGTCAGGGCAAGGAATCTGTAACTAGCTCCTGTCTTTAAGGCCCAGCAGTCCACTACGATTCTTGAGCAAGCTTCCTCAAATAAGATGCAGGAACTGAAAACCAGGGATGGGATGGGGGGGGGGAGAGGAGAGGGGAGAAACAGCATGCTTGCAGACGAGCATAAAATCCTGGATTAGTTCTTCAAATGTAGGTTTTTGCAAGTATCTCTCAAATGGGTTTATCATTGAGGTATCTTGGATTCCTAATTCAAATTCCAGGTGTGACTTAAAAGCCAGAGAGGAACGTAGCCATGTCCGAAACTTCAGTCATCAGCACTGTGAACGGCTTTCCCAGATTTGAGGACAACAGCACTAGAAAGCTCTAGCATACTGATGCCAAGATGCAGCTTTCTAAATCAGCATCCTATGCAATTGCTGCATTTGGAGAACATTTTGTTCACATTTACATTGGAACGGAAGTTAAAAACCATCTTGGTATCATAGCTTCAGTAGATACCACTAAAATATCTTTAGAGAACACCAAATTGGTACCAAAAAGCCATACTGGCAACAGCAATGGCTCTTAGTTGAATTCTAACTGCTAGGCATCTCTCACTTCCTTAGTGCAGCAAAGCTAATCCGAAAGGCAGAAAATAAGTGGACATCACCTTCCTTTCTGCAAGCAGCAGGGGTATCCAGGTGGCACAATTACAAAGATCAAACAACTCTCAAGCCCCCAGTAAGAATAAATACATTTTAAACCTTTGCAGTCCAAAATAGAATGATGGGTGGCTGGAGCACTGACATCCGTAGTTCGCAAGATAAAAATTACTACAAACAACTGCTCTATGCTAGTCAGATGCTGCCCTCACGTTTCTCACAAGGCACGCTGCAAGAGACAGTTGCTTGTCTCTTCTATGTCTTTAATGAATGATTTACATGTCACGCTCTTGGCAAGAAAGTACTCTTTCCTGTATACAATAGGTATTTACTTACTGTGTTGACGTAAATTAATTTATTCTAGATCAAGGTATTTGAAAACACAAATCTAGACGGGCTTAATGGCCTACTAAAAGAAACACTGCAAGAAGTGAAATTACTGTAACTTTTGCTTATCACATACATGATACATACATTTCACCTACATGAAAATAAGAACTAGTTTAGCATGTAAGATACATTCAGAAGGAACCGGGGAGGATTCAGATGCCGAGAAAGGATAGTGTAATGGAGTTAACAGATTTGTAATCCCCAAAATTCCTATGTAGATGAAAACAAGCAAAATGTACATGCGCACAGTCCCTGTAATATTACATGGAAATTAAATGGCTTAAAAATGCTTAACTGAAGTTAAAGCAGATACTATTAACTAATCCAGCTCAAGGCTTCTCAGCGGGATGCATAAAATTAAGTTACCCTACTCCAAGGATAAGTAGCCTAAAGCCAGGTCTAAAATAATAGAAATCAAGTAACAGCAAGGTTCAAAAAACCCTGGAAGAGGGAAATACCATAATGCTGAGGGAGGTTATTTACAAGGGGAAATCCACACAGTTTCTTCCTCTTATAGTGCCCCAAAGAAAGACTTAGGCAGCCTAATAGAAGATTGCCACAACAGGTTTGCTTAAGAAAGTCCATGGTTAGTTATTTTGACATAAACCCCAACTTTCGCTAAGGAATTCAAGTCAGAAGAGATCTGGGAACTTACTATTTTTTGCCAAATTAAAATGTTACAGAACTTCAATAGACACCAAGTGTCTATCAGAAATACTGCAATACAGAGCATCAGGGACCTGCTAAACAAAAATTGCACTGAGCACGTATACACATTAGCATGTAGCACATTACAGGCATATTTATGAGGTTAAATCAGTGCAACTCCCTTTTGTATCTTTATACCTACAAGGTGTTAAGTATAACTGAACTAGCAAGGTTTGAACAAAGGACTTTGCCAAGGCAGTTTTTGTAATAACATGGTTGATTCGGCAAAAACTGAAAAGGCCAATCTAAACGAAAGTCTTAAGCTTATCAGGTATATTGCAAGGCAACTAATCAAAACTTACAATGAGTAACAAGTCACGC